TGTTTGGACTTCATTCTCCAGTGGGCCCAAATCAGGCACCTGCAGTCAATTGTCCCTCACAGTTTCTCCCAGACAGTCATCTACCCGGCTGTTATTTCTCAAACACAATCCTTTGCTTCTGGACTGGCCCTGTCCAACATTCACCCAGATTTCCACGGCTTAGCTTGACTCTTTGAGGGTGTGGGTATGTCTGGAAATTTCAATACCCAAAGGGACTGAGCAGGTGACGTGGGGAGCCTCAGTAACCCTAAGAATACAGGGGCCACCTCACAAGGAGATCTCTATTCAGCTGCAGTGCCTTGTTGTAGGGCTTTAGTGCTGGTCCAGGTTTTTTTCTAAGAAAAAAATCCCAAGATTCAAACTCTCAATGTTTGCAGATAATTTAAATACATTAAGTGTCAAGTGGGCCAATTAGACCCCACGTGTTGGGCCCACAGCCAGCCAGTTCGCAACATCTGCTCTTTAGCAAGGCACATTCTGGTGCAAGAATCTACTCCAGCACTCCTCACGCTAACTCCCAGTACTCTGGGCAGCTCGGCCTGGCCCCAGGGAGGTGCCTGGGAGGCTCCTGCTGCTCACTGATCCTGCCCTCCGCTCTGACCTGTCGGAGCCCTTGGCTCAGATCTCCTCCTGTGCCCAAGCCCCCCAGCAGCCACAAAGACAAGAAGGAGACCATCTTCCTAAGAACCTACCTGGGCCAGCCAGGCTCCCTTTCCCAAGTATGAAGCAGCCCCAGTGGCTTTTGAAACTCAGAAACTGGGTGGCATCTAGCCTCTTAAAAACCTGTTGGTGGTTCCCCGTTATCCATAGCAGCATCCAGCCACTGAAGGTGGTATATACATAATAACCCTCCCTCTGGAGCTTGCCTCCCACTACACTCCACCTCCAGCCATTTGTAACTGTGCTTCCTTCCTGCTGCCCTCCAGGCAAACACACCTCAAGCGTCTCACCTGTGAGTCTCCAAGCCTGAAGTTCCCTCTGCCCAGAACACCTTCATTCTAACGCTCCTGCTTCATAAACTTGCTGCCATCCTTCACGATGCAGCTGGCGTTCACCTCCCTGCTCCTGATCCTTACTGCACTAGGGAACTGGCCTCTACCACCTTTGTGACATCACCACACATACCCCTCCCCCCTGCATTCTGATGCAGGCATCTGTCTGCATCTCTCCTACATAGCACTGTTGCATCTGGAATTATTAGCCAATCTCAACCACACAATTTGTGTGCCTTCTTGGTTACGTGTGTCTTCCTTCCAAATTGTAAATCCCCCCCAGGGAATGGGTTCTATTTGTCTTGTTCACTGCCTCCCGCCCCCCCCCCCACCAGCCACCCCCCACACCTGCCCGATGCTAGAGTCTGCGACAGGATGGGCAATCGGCACTCCCTGAGATGGACAAGGCCTGGATCTGCACACAGGTTTCTCTCTGATGCCCGCTTTCCCACGAGATGCTCCGGGAGCCAGCCGGAGGAAAGAGGGATGGGAGGGTACCTGAGTGCCCCGCAGCCACAGAACGGTGGTTCCCAGGAGGCGGCTCCGCAGGAAGGCTGTGACACCCTCCTACTCCCCCTCCCCCGCCCACGGCACTTCGGAGGGCGTTCGGGAAGCCGTGTGTTCTCCCGGACCCTCTCGGGCTTCCTGGTACTTTTTTCTCTACCTTCCTCGTTCTTGAATGTGTTTATTACACTCTTGTACTAAAAATACAAATAAACAGACCAAACAGTGCTTTATCGCGCGGCAGGGGTGGGACATCTTCTCAAGGACACGCCGGAGGCTGGCGCAGGCTGGCTCAGACTGCGGACAGATTCGGGGTGGCCAGGATCGGTGGATGTAGGCTGGGGTGGGGGGTGAGCGAGTAGACGTCAGGGCGGGAACGCTGGGCTGCAGGAAGCGCGGGGCTAGGTGGCGGCGGGGTTGGGGCGCGGAGGCGCGTGGGCGCTGAGGACGCGCGCGGCGGGGATGCAAATCAGGCCTCCCTCGCGCCCCTCTGCAGGGCCGGGCGTGGCGGGTGGCGCCCCCTGGTGGCACCCACGAGGTGCAGTTCTGCAGACCCCAGAGCCTGCCCCGGCCGCCTTCGGAGGAAAGGAGAGGCAGGGGGCTCTGACCACAGTCGTTCAGATACGCAGATGACCCCATCCTTATGGCAGAAAGTGAAAAAGAACCAAAGAACCTCTTGATGAAAGTGAAAGAGGAGAGTGAAAAAGTTGGCTTAAAACTCAACATTCAGAAAACGAAGATGGCATTCGGTGCCATCACTTCATGGCAAATAGATGGGTAAACAGTGGAAACAGTGAGAGACTTTATTTTTGGGGGCTCCAAAATCACTGCAAATGGTTACCGCAGCCATGAAATTAAAAGGCACTTGCTCCTTGGAAGAAAAGCTATGCCCAACCTAGACATCGTATTAAAAAGCAGAGACATTACCAACAAAGGTCCGTCTAGTCAAGGCTATAGTTTTTCCAGTGGTCATGTATGGATATGAGAGCTGGACCATAAAGAAAGCTGAGCACCAAAGAATTGATGCTTTTGAACTGTGATGTTGGAGAAGACTCTTGAGAGTCCCTCGAATTGCAAGGAGATCAAACCAGTTCATCCTAAAGGAGATCAGTCCTGGGTGTTCATTGGAAGGACTGATGCTGAAGCTGAAACTCCAGTACTTTGGCTACCTGATGCGAAGGAGTGACCCATTGGAAAAGACCCTGATGCTGGGAAAGATTAAAGGCATGAGGAGAAGGGGATGACAGAGGAGGAGATGGTTGCATGGCATAACCGACTCAATGCACATGAATTTGAGCCAGCTTCGGGAGTTGGTGATGGACAGGGAAGCCTTGCTTGTTGCAGTCCATGGGGTTGCAAAGAGTCAGATATGACTGAGTGGCTGAACTGAACTGACCACAGTTGGCTATGCCTCAGGTTCCTCATGGGAAATGGCATGATAATTGCATCTCTTTGGTGACGAATAAAGGTGCAAACTTATGTGAAGCTCTTAGGGCAAAGTCTGGGTGCTCAACGCCCTGAACTGCTGAACGCTGGGCTGCAGGAGCCCTTCTGGAATCTCAGAGTGAATAAAGAGGAAGCTGAGGTCACGCAGCCAGATGAGAAGAGTGTGGAACCCACCTCAGACTTACCCACTGGGGACCCAGGGGAGAGCTTCTGCCTCTTCTGGACTCACTGCTCCCTCTTCTGTAAGCTAATGTCAGTGAAGTGTAATGAAGGCCAAGGTTTAAACAAATGTTGGGCCCCGTCTGGAATCTCTGAGGTCACGTTATGGATCTGGTGTCTGTAGAAGAGGATTCCTGTCCTATTGCACACGCATGGACCACAAAAAGGAGAAGTGGGTAGCAACACACTGGGGACCGGATGGACGTTCCTTTAAATTAGCTGCCATTTTGTGCCCTGAGACTCAACCTTTCTGACTCCCAGCTCCAAGCCTGAGTTTCCAGAGCTTGGGTGGGAAGAGACAGGAGATGAGAGGGGACGAGAGGGCATAGAGAAGCTTCCACGCCACCCTGGGCTGGGGCAGCCTTGGAACTCTGGCCAAGAAGGGAGCTGCAAATGGGCAGCTCTTCCAAGCTCCAGAGGTGGGACCTCTTGAGAACTGGTGGGCAGGCTGGTGTGGCTGGGGTGCTAAGAGGACCACTCCTGGAAAGTTAGAAGGGCCTATTCACGAGCCCCTTCCCAGTGTAGAGAGTCCGGGAGGGGGCCTGAGTTAGGAGGACCTTCCTGGGGTGTGTTGGCTGAGGCTCAGAGGCGCTCTGGCAGGCCCAAGTGGGAAGAGGGGGGCCTGGTCGCTGCCCCAGGAACCAGGACCAAGGGGCCCACCACTCACGGCTGCCCTTAAAACCCTCCAAGAATCTTGAAGTGACTGCCTCTCCAGAGGTGACCCCAGCTCTCCCTCATGTACCTTATGTCCAGTGAGTTCTCAGACTCCTGGAATGTCTTCTTTAGCACCTTTTGGTTTCTTGAAATCTAGTCCATCTTGTAAGAATGGATCAAGCCCCTTCTCTGATCTCTCAGTTGAATGCACTCTCAGCCCTTGTACCTAATTCTTGCTTCTAATTATGTGACCTTGGAGGTGAGGGACCACATGTGCATCATCTTTTGTCCTCATCTACGTCAGGGACTAAGTGAATAAACAAAGGCACAAGACAGCTGGGAGGGGTCTTGTTTTCTCCATTTGGAGGACAGGACTAGTCATACTGGCCTTTCAGGGCTGGTAGAAGCTCTGGCTGAGATTCCTCCACTGGGGATCGACTCACCCTCTCTTCCTCCTTAGGGCCGTTCTCTGGTTCTTCAGGCTTCCTGAGTCTTCGGTCCTTTGCCCCAGCAAATCTCACCCCAGGAGACCCCTCCCCCAACCCCACATCTCCTTCTGTCACTACACCATCCTCTTCCTCTGAGCCGACCTCTCTTCTCACCTCCTCTTTTTCCTGCAAACTGCCTGCAGGTTCAGCCTTGCCTCAAATTCGTCTCCTCGCCTTTGGGGACTCAATATTCATGTCGCCACCTTCAGAGAACGTTCTTCTCGCTGTACCCCCTCCCCCAACGCCTAGCAAACTTTGCTTAAGTGAGGCAGTGAGCACCTGTGTCCATCCAGGTTTGCCCCAGTGGTGGAGGAGCCGAGCGTTTGTCCAGCATATCCGCTTTCTGTCTCTTCTGAGCTCACAGAAGGATTATCTTTCCCCATCTCTGTGGCAGTTAGGCAGCAACAGTGACTAGTTCTGGCCAAGGGGCTGGAAGCAGAGGGGAGCGTGTAACTTCTGGGCCAGAAGTTTACTTAGCGGTGCAAGACCTTCAGAGACTTCCTGGCACTGCCTCATCCATCTGGCAGTGTGTTATGAGAAGGAGGTATTGAGCCACTGCCCCGCGAGTCACCCAGACTGACGGTGGACTTCAGGTGAGCTAGGCGTGCACTCCTGTTGTATCATGCGACGATTGGTGAGGTTGGTTTGTTTCCCAGCATACCCAAGCCTATCCTGAGTTTCCAGTTAAAGCAGTTTGTCAAATGAGTGGATGGTGTTGTGAGCTGTAAAGATCTGTGTACATTTTAGTTACTGTCATCAAGCCGTAGCAGGTGCCTGGGGGGCCAGGGACTTCATCACACTGCGGTGACCCCCTGTGTGGTGTGGCCACAACACGGCGGGGTGCGGGTGGATCGGAGTGGATGAGTGAATAGGGTGTGTCGTGGGAGAAAAGCTTTCTCTCACTTATAATTTGCCAAGGACTTGCCCACAACCTGTATACATATTTGATCTCTGATGAAAGGTTATAATGAATTCTGTGCTGTTGGCAGGAGACGGACATTTCTCCCAGGTATTTGGTTCTTACGGTTGTAAAAAGATAGTGTTTCTCTGTTGGATTCACAGGGGAGTTTTTTTGTTTGTTTTCTTTCTCTTTTCTCTCTTTCTCTCTCACACACACACAGCCCCTGTCAATCTCTGGGAATCTGTAATATAATATTTTAATAACGGTTTGATACTGACTGGATTCAGCCCCCGGATTAATTGTATCTCTCCATCTTTGAAAGCAGCTGGGGAAAATCACAATGTGGCTTTGTTTCCTAAGCAAAACCCTGCTGACTCGTCACCAAGTGGGGGGTGTCTCCTAGAAGGTCTGTCTGCCTGTAGCTCTTCCAAGGCTTTTTCTCTTGAAAGCCTTTTGCTCTTTGTCCCTTTTCTCTGTGACTTTAAACTCGTGTTGCTATAGGGCTGACGTGGTCCTACTTAATGAACAGCTATAATGTTCTTGTTACTTGAATAGAAGGTGGGTAAGTGAAATATTACCTGTTCTCTCCACGTCCATTAGCGACTTTACCTGGCCCTCACTAGATTCCCCCGCCTCTGTCTTGTGGTCCAGTGGACCTCCATGGGAACGGACACAGTAGGGGAGCTGGAGCAGAGAGGGCTGGACAGCCTGGTTGGAGTCCAGGACCAACCAGTTATTATTTGCATAAAGTTGATCACATGGTTACTTTCTGAATCTCAGATTCCTCATCTTCAAATGGAGCCTTAAGACCAATCTGGCCTCCAACATGAAGCTATGGCAAAGATCACCCAAAAGGGCTTTGGGCCAAAAGATAATTTATGGAGATACGGTATTTAATTCTATTGCATTTTCCCTCTCCTGCGCCAAGAAGGTTCAAGGAAGGGTGAGACAAAAAGGTTCCTGCAGACCCTTCCTTCGCTGGCTTTTTCATTCATCCCCTGAAGGGCTGGCAGGGGAGTGGGTTTCCTAGACTGGATGGAGGGGCATCACTGGGGTACACAGGACCTTAGTCTTGGGGTCCAACCTCTGCAGAGTTTCCAGACTCAGGGAAGAAACCGGGCTTCTAGGGGCCTCAGACCAGGAAGGGACCAAAGACCCACAGTGGCAGGACCCAAGGACATGTGGATGGCTCTGAGAGCCAAACCAAGGCTGATTGATGTTGAATTTCCAGCCAGGCAGCACCATGAGGACCTGAAGTCAGACACAGCCATTATAAAGAAATGACTGTGATGCATTTTGCACTTTCGAGCTTGTAGAGGGAGAATTCCACTCTCAGGACTGATAGAACCTAATATAAATGTGGGCTTTTGCATTGTTTTCAACGTCCACTAGCCCCTGGTTGGAGCCACCCAGGAAATCAGAGTCACCTGATTCCTCCACTCACATTGGAGCTGACCAAAGGCCTATTGTCAGTTTCTCAGTGGTCCAAGCAGAAGTGGGCATCGCTAAGGCTCTGATGACCCCCACACAGGGTTTGACAACCACCCGCATCAGCCTCACACAAAGGACCTGTTAAAAATGCCACTCCTGGTTTCCCTTCAGCCCCTTATAAATAGCCTCTGGGGCAGGGTGGAGAGGGTTGGGAGTCTGCACTTTATTTTATTTAGTTCTTAAAAATATTTACTTCACTGTGCTGGGTCTTAGTTGTGACACGTGGATCTAGTTCTCTGACCAGGGATCAAACCCAAACCCCTGCATTGGGAGTGCAGAATCTTAGCCACTGGACCACCAGGGAAGTCCCAGAGATCTGCATTTTAACAATACAACCAATGAGACTCCAACACTCAAGGAAGCTTGTTAAGCTTTGCACCTGAAGGGAAATGAAGGTAACATCATTACAGGTCCTGCAGGCAGATTTGCTGTAGGGTAGTTGTACTGGCTGTGACTAAGTGATCAGTGATGATTATGATATTAATTCCACTTCATATCATGGACTTAGCTGTCTGTGTCCTACCCCACTTCTGCATATAAATTCAAGGGCAGGGATCAGAGATTCTGAGAGCCCCTCACTGTGGGGTCTTGACAGAAGGGACTTCACTGAAAGGACAGGAGGCACCTGCTGCTTCTCTGTACCAGCATGATAAGTTGAGAGTAGCATTACCTCCCATCCCCATGGTCTTAGGCCCCCAAGGATTGGGCAAGGGACAGTCTCTGGCCAGAATGTATAGGTTCTGTCTGCTCTCTAGAAAATATACATGACAGTACAAATTCATGACCAAGTTACATTATATTAATAGAAATATCAAAATAGAAAAAAGGCTTGGAATAGCAACCATCTTCTAGAATCTGAAGGCTGGCATTCATTGTTCATGAGCTCAGCTAAAGGCAGTGCCTTCAGAATTTGGTTAAATTGCAGAGAGAAGAACCAGGGTTAGTTGCAGAGAATCATTTTCCAAGCATGACCACTGAAAGGGCTGAAACTGGCTTCTGAGGTTGCATGGAGCTTCCCTTCCTGAGTGAGATCTGTGGAAACAGAGCTGGTGGCTTTAGAATCAGGCTGTCTGTGACAGTGGCTTCCATAAAGACTTCAGGCCATGGCACTGTGGCCATTGACATTCTGTCATATGAGGCCTTTCCAGAGGTGGCTTCTGGAAGGGTCTTCTAAGAGCAGTGGCACGCAAGAGATCTGCACGTGACCACGACTGACGTCCAGCAGTTCCAGAGGACATGGTAGGTCAGCTCCCCATATGGTAAAGCCCAGAAGCAGACTCAGTATGGTGGGGCGTGGACAGTCAAGGTTCTGTTGATAATCTCCAGGTTCTTGCTGTGTGTCCCCCACCCTGCCCAGGGAGCCTGCTCTGGGAGGAGGTCTTAGTGTAGATGGAGGGCAGGGAAGCTCCAGGGAGAACCATGCCCCGGTGCTGCCTTGCACAAAGTTGGTCTCCAATAAATATTTGTGGGTGAAAGGAGTCCTTTGTTGGCTTCTGACTCTGAACCTCCACCCAGGGCAGCAGCACCTCTCAGCCCAAGCCCGGGGAAGGCACCCACCTCTCTGGAGGCAGTGAGAAGAGGCTGAGAAAATGCTAATAAGCACAAATGTTCAAAGCCAGGAAAGTCAACCTCTTGGGCCTCTATGTTATGGGCTACAGGAGGCCAGACAGCTTGACGGCTTTTGACATTTGCTGGACTTCATAACCTGATTGCTGACATCCCCGACAGCCTCTCTTTACTCCATGACCCACAGGCTAGAGTCCAGATGGGGAAACCCGTGTGAAGCCACCTCGTCTGCACCCGAGTCAGCTTAGGGGAGGTGGTCTTCCCATCACTCTGAGATGAGGTGTCCTGTCTCCCCACTGTGGGGTGGGGGCTGGGTGTCATGGCCATCCATAACCAGCCGCAGGTCTTCAGCACCGTGTGACTTTCTTAGTGTGAGAGATACTCCTGGAAAGATGGAGATAAACCTACACAGACCCGGGTACAGACGAGTCTACAGTTAACGTGAACACCATTTGGATGGCCTGTCTTCAGGTGTTAGTCTGAGCTCTGGTCCTGAGTGTGGGTAACTGAGAGGACCAACTGACCATACTTCCCAATGTGAGAGCTTCCAAAGCAGCCTCTTGGGCAGGAAGCGAGGATCGGAGGGGAAGCAAGGCAGCCCTTCCTGGGCTCTGTGCTGGGGCTGAACCCAGATACAAAAGGGACAGCCACCCCTCCCCTAGCCTGGCTCTGGTCAATAAAAACTCAGCCCCCTCCCTCCTGCCTCTGGGCAGATACCCAGAGGCCTCCCCAGAGAGAAACCACAGAGCTGGTGAGGGGTCGGCGGGGCTGCCTCAGTGAGCATCCCCTTCGCGCAGGACGAGACTGGGCCTGTGGGGGCCTCGCCCAAGGGGGCAGGAGAGACCCAGCCCTCCAGCTCCATGCCCACCGGGCCCATGGGCACCCTGGGTGGGCTCTGGGAGGAGGGGACAAGGAAGGCAAACGGTGACGGGGTTTTCTTTCTCATTTACGAAACAGAAAGGAGGCGGCGTGTTAACGTTAGTAAGTATGGGCAGGTGTGGGGGCAGGTCCCTCTCAGGAGCAGGGCAGCAGCTGAGGCCGAGGGTCAGATGAGGCCGGCAGCCTTCTCCTGCACATTGTACTCCTTGTTCTTCTTCACCCGCCAGCTGATGAAGATAAGCAGCGCCGCGCCCAGAGCCTTGTAGGCCACCTGCAGGCCCAGATACCTGTGGGGCAGGAGGCAGGACGCGTGAGGGGTATGCAGGCGAGAAGAGCAGAATCACTGTCCCAGTGGCCCCGGGGTCGTGTGTCATCACCACTCAGGTAAGGATCTGTCCCCACCTGAGTGGGAGCCACCTTCCTCATTCCTTTTGTCCACAAGCCTAGAGAGGCTTGTAGGACGGAGCTACGTGGGACTCCCAGTCCAGGGCTCCTGGTTGTCACCCTCCCTGGCGCCCCCCAGAGGGCAAGAGAAACACTGCAGCACCAGCCATCTGGAGGGTGCTGTGTCCCAGCACAGCCAGGAGGGGGCGCCTTCTCCCTGCCCTCTTGGTCTGCCCTCCTCATGGACTTCTGTGCCCCTCCCACACCACTTCCAGACCCCGTCCGGTCCCCTGCAGCCCCCTCTCCCCACTTTTGCTTGTGACAAGGCAGCAGGTGAGGTGGCTGAAGGGGCGCAGAGCTCAGCGGTGCTGCAGCTGGGCTTGGTCCCACCTGCCCTTGGTGTCTGCCAGGAGCTGTGATGGGCCACCCCTTTCTGAGCAATAGGAGGCTGGCCTGGCATCATCGTTCCACAGCCATGAGCTCTCTCCCTTTAACAACCCTCTTTGTGATGCTGTCCCTCTCGGCGGCCAGCGGGGCCTGAGGACGGGGAGCAGGACACATCAGAGCAGCCTCCGGGTCTGCTTACTTGGATGGCTTTCTGTGAGCCTTGACTTGCTGGTCGGTGGTGGCCCCCACTCCTGCCCATGGCAAGCTCCCCTCCGGTTCTCCCTCGCAGGCCTGAGAGCCTCACAATTGCCACCGGAGTGATGACTGCCCTTTGCTCGGGCCTGGGGCCTGGCGCATCGTGCAGGCTCTCACCTGTTCCGGAGAGCGTCGTT